TATAGCTGTTGTATAATCCTTTTGTTGTTCGGCTTTAGTTGCTTTATTTAATGCTGGATGTAAAATTTTTGGAAATTTTTTCAAAACTGAACTGAGTGATTTTGAAGACTTATGAATCTCAAATACATTCATCTTATTAATTGTTAAAGATAAATCATCATCCGATATTTGTTCCCCTTTCATTTGCGCTAACCTTTTATAAAGGCCTTTTATCATTGCATTTTGTGCAAGACTATAGATTGATTCCATCTTAATTTCAGATCTGCAAAATGGACATTTAAATAATTTATTCTCGGATATTGAAACGCTTTCCCACTTATTAATAGCATCACGGCTGACTGTATTACCACAACATGATAAAATAAGAAAATCTCCAGTTATTTGTCCAGTAATCTTACAGGTAAAGTTCTCAACAACTATTTTTAATAAAGGATTAGATGTTTTATCTGGCATATTGTTCTTGATTATCGATTTCTTTTCATAATCGATACTAAAATGTTCTAAAAATTCATTATTTAGTTGAAGCTTTTGATTTATATCATGAATTAGGTTTTTAAATTTTAGATGAGAATTTACTGGTAATACTTCAATAAATTTCTCTATTTCTTCTTGTACTATATCTTTAAACCACTTAGGCTCCTGATAAGATAGAGAAATAAGTAATTCTAAAGATTTGAATTGAATATAGTAGCATTGAGACTTTTGCAATGATTCCAAGCCTAAATAGTAACAAAGAGCTAAATTGACAGGTTGAACAGTTTGACGGCTTAAATTTTGAGCAAGGTCTAATACGCCAAACCATAAAGAGTTCGGTAGAGCAGTTGGCTCTTTTCTAGTCCATAATTCACGAAAAGCTTTATGATTATTCAGGATAGTTAAATTATCATCATGTTTTTGTTGTTCACACCCTCGATTAAAAGCATGTTGCCAAAGTGATTCAAGTATATAAGCCTCATTATAGAACCGTAAAATGTTAAAATTTGAACCTCTTGCCAAAGCTTTTAATGAATAATGAATTAATAAGAGGTTACGCCACTCTGG